TCTTGTGTAACTATAGCTGGGGCTCTGACCAGATTAAAGATTAGATCCATATCATCTGCAAAAAGAGAAAGTAGGGCTAGAGGAAACAGAAGATACATTTGTAGCAAAAGCTTTAGAATGCATAAGTTTCCTTTCTTGAAACTCTGGGATTGAAGAGGTGTCAGCAAAAATGTTCCCAATTAAACTAGGGATCCTGGTGTGATATACAGTCCTACCCAGCCAAGCTGGGAGTGAGGACAACCTAGACTCAGGAATGGGAGAATCACATTAACCTTTTTATTCGCCTGATATTTTAAGTGTTGATGTTGTTTTATAGATGGGTTTTATTTGTTGTCAATTGATGGCTGATACTATACTTTTATTGTAGTACTGTCCTGGGACTTAGTGAAGGACAGTATAGGGAAGGAAGGAAGGAAGGAAGGAAGGAAGGAAGGAAGGAAGGACTTGAGTCTTTTCCCTACAGAAGTAGTGAATGGGGCATTCAACTTTGACTTCCTGGAGGCTTCGGCAAGGGGCGGCATAGAAATGTTATAATAATAATAATGATCAGTCCAGTAGCTGGGTAGCAGATTCATGGGAGACCCAAGTTCCCAGTATGAGAGTAGGTGAAATTTGCCCATCAAAATTTGGCTTGGCAGCAATCGCAAGGCTACACATGGCTACTAAAACCCTTATTTTTTATCATTTTTTCACCAAAAAATAATGGCACAGCCAGTATTATACACCATTTAAGGAAGTGCAAAACTTGTGTGAATACTGGAAATGGCAGTACCTGATGAGAGGCAAAGGACTTGATCCTTCCTGCAAAAGCTATTTATGACAGAATACTTGGTGAAGATTGCTGCCTCAACCGTGCATATTAGTGAAATCTATTCATACCGTGGTGCAGAACTGAGGCACACATACATACCTTGCTTAATTTTACCCCTCTCCTTCTGTCATGGGCATGTGCACATTTGTAAGTTTAATAAGAATCTGATGATGCCTGATCTAGCCTTGTGCATGTGACATAGGTCCAGAGGATTAAACCTGTGTTCCCCACCCCCACTTGCTGATGTTGGAGACCATTCTTTAACAGTAATGTGGCTTACTCTAAATCTGAGCTTCCTGACATAAGAAAACAAGTGACAGAAAGAACTGACCCTTAATGAAAGGTGGATGGTGAAGGAAACTGCCAGAGAGTCCTTGATAAGATCAAGCCAGAACTTGCCCTGGAAGCAAAAATGATGACACTGAAGCTTTTGTACTTCAGACACATCATGAGCAGGCAAGACTTACTGGAGAAGACAATGTTATGGAAAATTGAAGGCAGAAGAAGACAGGGAAGACTAAAAATGAGGTACATCAATTCTATAAAGGGAAACCACAGTCTTAAGCTTATATAAGCTGAACAAGACTTTCATGGGCAGTACATTTGGGAGGGTATTCATTTATAGGGTTGCCATAAGTTGGAAATTACTTGCCACCATGTAACAGCCATCAGTTATTAGTTATATATATTTACTTACTCATTTTATTTTAATCTTGCTATAACTCTATAATTTATTGTGTCAACTAAACCTAGGTGACAATAGTTGTTGGAGGGTTAAAGAACCTTCAAACAATTGTACAACAGACCTTGTAATAATTTGAAGATTATGTAACCCTCAAACAATACTGTGCTGCTTTGACAAACCATTGTTGTGACTTGACTAGGCAACCAACCTCTCATGGGTATTCCAGCTTGTTGTGGTTTAAGTCAAAGTGGGCTGAAATGATTCTTTGCTTGCCTGTTTCATTTCTATACTACCCCATAGCCAAAGCTCTCCGGGTGGTTTACAGCAATATATAAACAAAGCAGTACATTAAAATCAAAGGACAACCATGTTGAAATGAATTTAAAATAGCTTAAAATATACAGTAAAATTCAGTAAAATGCACACACACCCAGTAAAAATACCCAGCAAAGATAAATTACTTAGATAATTTCCTCAGGTCTCTAGATAAATAAGGAGATCTTTAAAAGCCTCCACATAAAGAGCTATCTTGACCTAGCACCTAAAATTACAAATTTGGTTCCAGGCAGGCTACAGCAGGGGGATTGCTCCAGAGATGGGGGATCACCACAGAAAATGCCCTCCCCCTTGCTGCCCCCCCCCCCGCAAGCCTCCCTTGGTGTTGGCTCTCAGAAGAAGGCCCCAGAGGTTGAAAATATTGTCCAGGTAGATAGTGATTGGGAGAGATGCTCCAACAGGTATTGTGGTCTTAAGCCATAGGTTAAAGCCAGCACCCTGAATTGGGACCAGAAGCATACAGGCAACCAGTACAGGTCAGCTGGAACCAGTCTTATATGTTCAGACAGATGGGTCCCACTTTTTACTCTGACTGACACATTCTACACATGCTTCTTCAAGGGCAGCCCACATAGAGTGTGTTGCAGTAATCCAACTTGACAATTACCATAGCATAGATTACTGAGGCCAGGCTATCTCTGTCCAGATAGGAGCTTAGCTGGGCCACTAGCCAAAGCTGGTAGATGGTACTCTGAGTCACTGAGGCCACCTGAGCCTCAAGTAATGAACCTGCTTCTTCAGGCAGAGTGCAACCCCATCTAGAATAGGTTGAATATCCACCATCTGGTCAGAGGAACCATGCACCAAGAGCATCCCAGTCTTGCCTGGATTGAACGTCATTTTGTGGGCCCTCATCCAGTCCAGTGTTACAGCCTGGCACTGGTTTAACACATGTATGGCCTCACCTACTGAAGATGTAAAGAAGAAATAGAGTTGCATATTATCAGTATACTGATGCCAGTGAACTCCAAAATTCTGGATAACCCCACTCAGCAGATTCATATAGATATTGAATAGTATGGAGGGCAGAACAAACCCCTGACGAATGCCATGCTGAAGAATCCATGGGGCTGAACAGTATTTCCCAAGCACCTCTTTCTGCAGATGTCCCTCCAAGCAGGGGCAGAACCACTGCAACACAGTGCCCCCAACTCCAAACTCAGTCACCCCAGGAAACCATTATTGATGATATTGAAAGTTGCTAAGAGGCCCAGGAAAATCAGCAGGGTTATACTCCTCCAGTCTCTCACCTGGCCTATGTCATCATAGAGGGGGGACAAAGGCCATTCCCATGCCAAAACCAGGCCTGAACCCTGACTGAAGTGGATCCATATTATCAGTCTCTTCCAAGATTGCCCAGATTTGATTAGCAACCACCCTTTCTAGAATCTTGCCTAGGAAAAGGATCTTTGCTGCTGCCTAAAGTTATTGACATCTTCTGGATCAAGGGAGTTCTTTTTCAGATGTGGTCTCACAGCAATTATGTCAATTGCTTGGGTCATTTCTGCATTCCATAGCACAACCAGGCCTTCAACAGGAGTGCCAGCCATATCAGCCAGAAAATCCCCTATACTGTTCAGATCCATTAGCCTCTATGGGTGGACTATTGAGAGGAAAAGCTGCCTTCTGTCTGAATCTCAGCAGGCAGTGATCTGACCAGAACATAGGAACTATGTCCAGGTCCCCCACATTCAGAGTACCATATCCAGCTGAAAAGACCAAGTTTGGAGTATGCCCTGCCACCTATGTTGGGCCAATGATGTGTTGGGACGGTTCCATGGTGGTCATGGTGGCCATGAGTCCTGGGCTGCTCTGGAAAGGATGTCCTCAGAACGAATGTTGAAGTTACCCAGAACAGCCTGGAGGACTCCAACATTACACTTAAGACCATCTCTGCCAGTTCAGAGAGGAAGACCGATGGGTTGCAGGGTGGGCAGTACACCAGCAGAATTCCCCAGCTGTCCTGGTGGCCCAGGACAAGGTGCAAACAATGAACAGAGTGCCTGGAGAAAGAAACTGAATCCTTATAGACCATGGCAACTGCCCCCCCCCCCCAATCAGGTCTGCCCTGGTGGGCACAACTGGGAGACACTAACTCCTCCCTATTCACTCACCAAGGTCTCAGTTATGCATGCCATATCAGCTGCTTCAGCCACAACTGTGGATGAGGAAAGCTTCATTTTGCATCAATCTGGCATTTAAAGCAAGATCCAGAGACTCAAGGGCAGGCTGACATAGCAATCACTTAACCTGTGGGAAGAAAGAGGACCAGAACATGGCATAGGCATTACTTGTCTGGGATGTGTTTCCTTACCTGGCCAGTCCTCCCAGTGGCATAGCTCCCTCTACTCATCACTCCATTGATTGGCAGCCCCACCATCTTCCCATTTGGCCCCATATCCCCCATTCCAGGCACTGTTCTAGGCATAAGCCAACATCATCAGCAAGCAGAAAGTGAGGGAGAAATGTAAGCACACTCACCCTTGTGGCATTGCAAAGGGGCAGACTAAAAGGGTGTACCACTATTGGGGTCTTCCCTGTCTGCCAATGGCAACCCACCACCCAGCAGCAGGTTGGCTTTTGTGTCAAGGAGGCAACAGCAGAATCACCAGGATTGTGTGAAACAGGTTGGTAAGTAAATTCTGTTTCTCCCTTGACTATAGAACAAAAAGGTTCTGGAATGCTGACTATCGGTCGAGAAAAATACATGGTAAGTAATTGTGTGAGCTGCCTAGGAGCACATTCTGGCAGTTATAGGTGGCATATAAATATGCGAATGGATAAATAAATAAATAAATTGCTGTGCTTGAAGAACAGGCTTGTGGAGCATGAACACCAAGGAATGGTGCATTCCCTAGACACCTGAATGGGTAAAAAGTCAGTTTTATAGGTAATACATTTAGTTGGATAAGATGAGCTCCTTTTCATTACCTGAGATCACTTGAAAATCACTTTGTCTGAAAGTTTTGTTGCATATATTCAGTGCCAAATCAGACAGGATTGTGTGGGATGTTACATCCACTTCATAATCTGTGATGACCTCATAACTGTTTCACTGAAACATACTATTTCACTTCAAGTCTATTGAGAAACCTTGAATGACATTTTGTTTTTATGTACAGCTAACAAAATAAATGTGGTTTCTATTGATTTCTATGTCCAGTGCAGGAAACTGTTCAGTCCCATTATGGATTGGTATTGAATGCTTTGAGAGACAGAAATGAAATGGAGCAGACATTACTAGGAATGGGAAAGAGTCTGCAAGATGTAAGTGTGAAAATTGTTCTCCTATATTTAGCTGAACTTTGTTCCTCCTTCTCCTTTGCTCTGTTCATGAAATTGAAAGACTTAATTATCAGTGTGCATCTTCAGAGACACACATTCATATATTATGAAATAATCACAGATTGATTCACCAGTGAGCTTCATGTCTGTATGGAAATTTGAACCCAGATCTCCCCCTTTCCAGTCCCACACTCTATCATCTACCCCACACTGACATGTAAACATTTTTTCCATTTTCATATATGTTTATAATATATACTGCTCTCCATACATATGTAACTTCGGAGGAGGGCTTTCTCAGCGGTGGCGCCTAAGTTATGGAATGCGCTCCCCAGAGAGGTCCGCCTGGTGCCGTCGTTATTTGTTTTTCGGTGCCAGGCGAAGACCTTTTTATTTAAGCAGTATTTTAAATGTTAATATTATTTTATTTGGCCAGGGCGGCTTGTTTTATAGTGTATGTTTTATATTATATATTTATATTTTATTGTATATATTTTAAAATGTTATTTTAATTTTTTGTTGTAAGCCGCCCCGAGGCTTCGGCGAATGGGGCGGCATAAAAATGTTTTAATTAATTAATAAATAAATAAATAAATAAATAATATAGGGATAGCATCATGTGTGAGCTGTCCTTCCACTTGAAAGTAAAACTCAGTAATTTTTCATCTCTAGTCCAGTATGACTTTTGAAAATCTTTCTTTTCTAGACTTTAAATCCATTGGATCTAATGATTATACTCTTCTAATCACTTTCCATAGAAAGACACAGAAATTTCAGCTTTGAAATCCAGCCTGCAATTGCTAAGAGAGAGTCTTGATCAATTAACAGTTCAGCAGAATGAGCAGCACCTGAAGCTCTGTGAACAGTTAGGCTACATGCAACTTCCCAGTCTTTTGTCTGAATTTCAAACATTCATTTCTGCACCCAGAGTACTAAGTCATTTAAAGGACAGGGAATCCCAGACTTCTCCAAACATGCTCTTGACCCAACTACCTTCCAGTCCCCATCTTAGCCTTTTAAATATTCCTGCTGGAAGTAAGGTCATCGCTACAATTTCTTCCACACCAGATAAAGAAAATGTTGGCACACCACAGAGGAGCCATATTATAGCTGGATGTCCTGATGCTGACAATGTTCTTTGCACCCTCTTCGCCAATGAAGCTGCAGGTAGCCATGAGGCATGCTGGTTACTTACTCAAGAGCCATGTCAAGCAACTCCAGTGAGGAAAGTGATCAAGAGGGACAAACAGGTGAAGGGACGTAATGCTGTTAGACTTTCACAGCTGAACTGGGCTCACAAAGACAGTATGTTCATGCAAAAACATTCAGGTGACCAGATGAATGAAAAACTGGGCACAGACAGGAAGAAGCAAAGTAAAGGAAGAGGAAGCAGGATCAAAAAGAGAGAGCAAAAATTAGGTAGCCAGAGGAAAAAACCTTATTCCTTTAGGAAAGACGGAAATCGTTCAAGGTATACCAATCTTAGCATGCTACAAAACTCAACTGGAAAGGGAAGTTCTAAATCAGAGAAGTCAAAACACTCTTACAGGAACACAAAAAATCCAGATAATTCTTGTTTGGGAACTATGTTTGTTAATCATAAAAAAATGTGCTGCCCTGAAAATAAGATAGCAGAGAAACCCAAGCTTGTTTTCCAGTCCCATGAAAACAAACAATATACACCAAATCTACAAGAGACATCTGGAGTCAGAAAGATGGTAGACCTTTCCAGTACAAAAAATAACAGTAGTTTCTGGGCATGCTCTTCTCCAGAAAGTTCTTTATCCCAAAACCAGATGAGATGGTACAGTCTTTTTGATAATCACTCACCTGCCTGTAGTATTTCAGTGCAGCAGAAGTGCACAACTTATTGTTCATTACTGCTTGACAGTGACTCTTCCGATTGATCATATGCATGCCAAATCTCTGTCAGTACATGTGCTGAATGCAGCTGTCCTTATAAAAAAAAAAATTCATAGTACTTACATCGACGTGGTTCTTCCTGAACTTTCCCTCATTGTGGATCAATCCCCAAAAAGAATATTTGTTTTCTGTTATGGCCTCTGGAAGGTACCATATTCAAATAAAAGGATTCCAGGGGTGCATATGTGCCTGGGGCTTCAGTAGGTTTGAGGTTTCTCTTCCAATAAGTAATATCTGAAAAGCCTTTCAGATACCCTTCTTCAAGGAATGCCATTTCCCTTGCTCTAACCCCCACAGAGTTGCTATGTGTGTTATGTCCAAAGAGGCTGTAATTTTGAGTTCAATGTAGGAAGCATTGGTAGTATAAGTTTTCACATAGGAATGATTAAAACATTTAATTGTGTAATTTATTACATCTATCTGAAAAGTGTTGATTAAGCATGCATAATAAAAAAAACCCTATAGTATCTGGGTCCAGTTCTTGATGGGTAGCAATCAAGTTGGAAATACTGTTTTAACTGATCTTAATGATGTGACATGTATCTCACACTTGCATAGGAGAGCACCACAAAGAAAAAGTTCTCATATTGTCTGGTGGATGTGACAAAGGAAACTTTGTGGAGAGTTATTTAGGAGAAAGTGTGCAATGAGAGCTCATCTCTTCCGCATTGCTTTTACCAGCCTGGTATAATGGAAATAATTTTTCTCCCTTGGGGGACAACAGTTAATTCTAGTAACTCCTTCCTCCTGTAGCAACCAAGCACTCTGGCTTCCTTTAGGATAATTTGCAATTAGATGGGGGACACCCTGCTCTTTCCTATACGCCACTCTTGGGAACTGAATTAGCTGTAGTAATGTCCTTCCTTTGAAATGCTTTCTTGAGAGAAAGAGTGCTACTTTCTTTTTCTTGGATTAAAATGGAGTTGCAATGAACATCATATGTACACACTGTGGCCCCCTTCTGGTTCTTCCAAACCTTAGCCATTTTTCACATCTGGCGCAGGAAAGGCATCTTCTTCTGACAGACCTTTTTCCTCATCAGCACTGATAGGTTTGTTAGACAGAAAGCCACCATCTCATTTTGTATTAGCTTTTAAGTCACCATTCCCAGTATGGGGGAAAAGAGATCACTTTTCGGACATCTTTTAGAGCCCAGGCTCTCCATAAGTCAGAGATGGCTAAAAAGCCCTGGAGGAATGCAAAATACAGGTTCCTCTATGACAGGATTATTATATTCTCCTTCACCAAGGCAGGCTTATCAGCAAGGAGGTCTTCCCTACATGGAAGGCAGCTCTTCAATCACTGATGAAGGCAAGGGGGCTCCATACCATGGTATCACAAGCCACAGCATATTTAGGTCAGGTACAATCATCTCCCTTGAAACAAAACTCTCCATTTATCATTGATCTTGCAGGGGGTTTTTTCATAAACTTCCTCCTTTAGGCCGTACCTCAGCGGATTTGTGTGTTTGTGTTCACATTCATGTGTTTCTAGTACACAAAGATAGAGAATGCTCTTGCAGGTATACCAGAGAAAAAATATATTCAGAAGACAGATAGACCTTAAAAGTATGTATACCTTCCTGAATCATAGCTGAACAGATCAGAGGAAGCTGCCCCAGTTGATCTAGGGACTCAGGGATCAAGCAGCCAAGCATCGAGCGAGCGAGCGACCAGAGCAAGCAAACTGTAGTTTCGCAGGGGAGTTTGGTGGGAGAGGTCAAGGGGGAGGTCCCTAACTTTTTCCTTTCCCTTTTTTCCTCTTAGTCCCCCACCCACCCACCTGGTTTCCTTCCTTCTAACACAGTCCCATTTCCTACCTACCTCCCGTTTACTGCCATTTATTGGTAGGACAGTGTTGTTAGCCTTCATAGAATAGTTGGAAGGGGCCATGAACACCATCAGGTCCAACCCCCTGCTGTAGCACGACATCAATTTACATTATCCCACTTCAGGGAAGACAGGAGAAGGCTATCAGCAAGCTAGAATTAAAAAGGTAGCAGAGAGAATGGACAGAGAAAACTCCCAAGTGGTGGTGACCTGCAATGTCTGAACTGTTTGTTTTCTTGCCTGAGGTCAACAGGGCCTACATGTGCAACAAGTGCAAGCTAGTAGCCCTGCTAAAAGAAAAGCTGAGAGCATTAGAGCAGTGAGTGTCCTCCCTTAAGATAATAAAAGATGAAGAGTTATTAGACAGAGTGGTGGAACTGCAACAGCTAAGAGTAGTACATAAACTTTAAGTGCAGCTGCAGCAGAACAGGAAAATCCTAAGGAAAGGGAAAATGAGGAGGAAACTCCATGGAAAAGGGTGTGAGGTGCAGAACTAGAAGACACAACTGCAGAACTAGACATTAATGCAGAACTAGAAGACATTCTGCACTAGTAGAAGCAGTGGAACTATCAAACCATTTTCATTTACTCAAGAATGAGACTAGAGGGCTCCTTGCTGTGGAAGAACTTTAAGTCCTCCCATGCAACAATGAACAGGAGCCTAAAAGTCAAACAAGTAGTGGCAGTGATACCAAGGTCTGCAAGAACAAGAAGAGAAGAGTGTAAGTTGTGGGAGAGTCTCTGTTGCATGGGATGTGTGTCAAGAAGACCCGTGGACTTGTCAGGTATGCTGTCTCCCTGGAGGACCAATTAGTGATATAACTGAAAGATTGCCAAGGCTCATACAGCCGGCTGACATGTATCCCTTCCTTCTTATTCTTGTGGGAGCAAGTGACACTGCCAAGTGGAGCTTTGAAGATAACAGTTCAAAGACTATGAAGCTTTGGGGAGGCAAGTCAAGAACTTTGGGGGCCAGATAATTTTCTCTTCACTTCTTTCAGTTCTTGGAAGAGGAATAGACAGGGAAGTTAAAATTCTTCAAGTCAATGCCTGGCTATGAAGGTGGTGCCAACATGAGAAATTTGAATTCTGGGACCCTGGGCTACAATTCCTGCAGAATGGACTGCTGGCAAGGGATGGGTTGTATCTTACACGGACTGGAAATAATGTGTTTGGCCAGTGCATGAAGAAGCTTATCAGGAGGAGGGCTTTAAATTGAATCCTATGGGGGAGGGAGAATTACACCTGAGCATAGCAGACAAAGGTGTATGCCCCAAAACAGAGAGAGAACTCTAACAATGCCCACTATTGGTCTTCCAATAAGTTCAGGAAGAAATCTAGAGTATAAAGTGCTTGGTCTTCGATGTCTATATACTAGTGCCTGGAGTATGGGAAACAAACAGATATCGCAAAATTGCAGAGGAAGGCTAAACCTAGGAATGAACTGAGGGATGCTAAGAGCAACAAAAAAGTATTTATTATTTTTTTGATTTATATCCTGCCTTTTTCCTACAAAGGGCTCAAGGCAGCTTACATCATTCTCCTCCTCCATCTTATCCACACAACAACAACCCTGTGAGGTAGGTTGGGCTGAGAGTCTGTGACTGGCCCAAAGTCACCCAGTTGGCTCCATGGCCACGCCGGGACTAGAACCCGGATTGCCTGAGTCCCAGTCCCATGCTCTTAACCACTACACCACACTGGCTCCCAAGTAGCACTGAATTTAGTTGTACCAGAAAGTAAGGAGTTCCTTTTGGCTTTTGTCATCCCAATTAAAAAAGACAATGAGATTCTTCTTGAGAAGTGTGAACAAAATGTCTTCCATCATGAATACTGAGGCCTACTTAACACATGCAGCAGAATAACATAGGAGCAAGGTAATGAAATGGACTATGTTACTTCAGCTTGCAAGTGCAGGAATCATTTGTTCAATGCAGTCCTCCTCTTTTTTAAAAACTTTCTAGTAAAAAGTCAGCACAGCAGACAGAAAGCTGGACTGGAAACTTTCTCCCCATGATAGTGTTGTTTTTTTAATTACTACTAGCACTGCCACATTATTGTCATCTCTGTAGTTTTTCCATAAGGGAACAATAAACATAAGATCTTCCACCTAAAGCCTAAAGTAGTGTAGGCCAGTGTAGCACTACAAAATTTTACCACCTATTTCCACTGCATATATAGAAACAGAAACAGAGCGAGTCAGAAGGGATCTCCTGGGCCATCTAGTCTGACCCCCAGCTCCAGCCAGCTCCACTCATGACATGCCTACCATGTGCATGCCCAGCCTATCCTTAACCACCCTCACAGATGGGGCTTCAACCACCTCCCATGGAAGCCCATTCCATATCCTTGGGGTCCTAAATGTCAGGAAGGGACTTTGTTGTTGGCTGGCGGGTGGGATTGCTAAATTGGATTGGGGGGTTGTGGGGGTGTTTTTAAGTGTTTTTAATGTGTTTTTAGCTTATTTTTTAATGGAGTCATTTTCGGCTACGAATATGGGGTTGCCTGGGGAGCACGTGGGCGCCGCCATTGGGGTGGTCATGGGCAATGGACGTTATGGTGTTGGGGGTCTAATGTGTCCATGTAGAAGAAGGGGGACCTGTTCCTCTTTCTGGTTATTCCCCCAGCCTGAGGGTTCCAGGTAGTCTTGTCAACCACCCCTCAGGCCTGTCGGTGCTGCTGCTTAATGCCAGGTCGGTCCACAATAAATCATCCCTCATCCATGACTTGATTGTGGATGAGGGGGCCAACCTGGCTTGCATTACAGAGACCTGGGCAGGAGGGGGGGGGATGTCTCCCTCTCTCAACTGTGCCTACCCGGGTATCTGGTCCAGCACCGACCATGCCTGGAGGGGAGGGGGGGTCGTTCTGGTTTACCGAGCCTCCATTTTCCTCATGGGGCTTCCTGTCCCCTCGAGGCTGGGTCTAGAGTGCCTCTACTTGGTGTTGGGCGACCGAGACAGACTGGGAATTCTGTTGGTGTACCATGCACCCTTCTGCCCAACAGACTCCCTGCCTGAGCTGACGGAGATCGTTTCGGATTTGGTGTTGAAGACTCCCAGGATGTTGGTCCTGGGGGACTTCAATCTCCATGCTGAGACAGTTCTGACCGGGGCGGCTCAGGACTTCATGGGGCCATCTCAACATGTACGTCCCACCACCTGCTTACTGGACCCTTGCCCATCTTGGCTACTCAAGAAAGCCAAGGAAGGGATAGGGACCTGGATCCTGGAGGTTGTCAACGCCTCTCTAAGGGACAACCGGGTACCTGCCCCTTTAAAGGAGGCAGTAGTCCGGCCAATCCTAAAGAAGGCGTCCCTGGATCCAGAGATGGCCGTCAATTACAGACCAATGGCTAACATCCTGTTCTTGGGCAAGGTGTTAGAGCGGGTGGTGGTGGGACAACTCCAAGCACTCTTGGATGAAACTGACTATCTGGACCCATTTCAGTCCGTCTTCAGACCCGGGTATGGTACTGAATCTGCCTTGGTCGCCCTGTATGATGACCTGTGCAGGGAGAAAGACATAGGAAGTGCATCCCTGTTGGTTCTCCTGGACCTCTCAGCATCTTTCGATACCATCGATCATGGTATCGTTCTGGATAGGCTAGCGGGATTGGGAGTTGGGGGCACTGCTTTGCAGTGGTTCCGCTCCTATCTCAATGGCCAATTCGAGAAGGTGGTGCTGGGGGACTTTGGCTCTGCACTATGGCACCATGGAGTTCCGCAGGGGTCCATTTTGTCCCCCTTGCTATTCAACATCTACATGAAACCGCTGGGAGAGGTCATCAGGAGGTCTGGGCTGTGGAATCATCAGTACGCTGATGATACCCAGCTCTACCTCTCGTTTTCCACCAATCCAGGTGAGGCAGTGGCTATGCTGAACCGGTGCCTGGTCGAGGTAATGGGCTGGATGAGGGCCAATAAACTGAAGCTCAATCCAGACAAGATGGAGGTCCTGTTGGTAGGTGGATCAGGCTTCGGGATGGGGGACCTGGGCCTTGTCCTGAATGGAGTTGCACTCCCTCTTAGGGACAGGTTTCGCAGCTTGGGAGTGCTCCTCAACCCAGAGCTGTCATTAGAAGCTCAAGTAACAGCAGTGGCGAGGAGCGCTTTTCTTCAGCTTCAGCTGATCCATCAGCTGCGTCCCTACCTGGAGAACGATTGCCTGGCAACTTTGACACATGCATTGGTAACTTGCCGATTAGACTTCTGTAAAGCGCTCTACGTGGGGCTGCCCTTGAAGATGGTCTGGATACTTCAATTGGTGCAAAATAGAGCTGCCAGGCTGCTGACAGGGACTGGGCGTTGTTCTCATATAACCCCAGTCCTCCGTCAGCTTCACTGGCTTCCTATTGAAGTCCAGGCCCAATTCAAGGTGTTGGTTATCACCTATAAAGCCCTCAATGGCTTGGGACCTGGCTATCTAAAGGAGCGCTTGCGTCCATATATGCCCTTCCGCCCCCTGAGATCAGCAGAGGAGGCCCTTCTCCGGAGCCCTCCATGAAGGATATTAGGAGGGTGAGTACCCAGAGGAGGGCCTTCTCTGCGGTGGCGCCCCACCTATGGAATGTACTCCCCAGAGAGGTCCGCCTGGCGCCGTCGTTATTTGTTTTTCGGCACCAGGCCAAGACCTTTTTATTTAAACAATATTTTAACTGTCAATTGCTGTTTCTATTTATTGGTTTTATAGTGTTGCTGAAATGCTCCGGATTTTTAATGTCTGTTCTATATTTGTTTATTTGTTTTGTAAGCCGCCCCGAGGCTTTCTGCTACAAGGGCGGCATAAAAATGCTACCCCCTCCCTTCCTGGCATCCATCTTGAATCTTGGTTCCCTGAGCTTTGCTCCATTGGGATGCATCAGATCAGCCCTGTGATCAGGAACCCTCAACATGGAATGGAGAATGCCATTTGCTTATGTGTCGCTTTCTCATATGATGTGGGGTAGCTGTGAGAGCAGTGAAAGTGCTCATATGAGATAGGGCTGACACACGCTGCTGCTTAATTTAATTTATCTCATTCTCCTGAAGGATAAAGCTGAGGAAATTATTGTTACTCATCTTGCCTCTGATATTTATAGGAACAGGATCCCATCATTTTCTTTCCTTTTGTAATTCTTTAATGTTCATGCTTCATTTGGCAAACATGACAAGCTGACATTTTCAATCAGTAAGTCAACATTCCCTGAGGAACCAACGCTCCTTGGAAAGTGACAGCGGCATAAATGACTGAAAATGTCTGAACTGTCCTGTGTGCAATGGATAATCCTGGTGTTATAGCATCAATGTGCACAGCTCTGTTCTCCATCCAGCCTTCCTGCCATAAGAAGGGTGCTGCTGGAACAGGCTAAAAGTCTACTTGGCTCAGATTCCCAGTTTCCACGGTGGCCAACCAGATGCGTCCAAGAAGCCCACAAATGGGGCTTGAAAGAAAGTGATCCTCTCTTGCTCTTGTTCCCCAGGAAATCTGTTTAGCGGAATATGCACAGTGCATCTGAATATGGAAGTTTTATTGGTTAAGAAATATTTAAACAGCTTTTATTCCATCCCCACCCATAGAGCACCTTTTCCTTATGAATAATAGCCGTTTTCTCTTTTCCTTTTCTTTCCCTGGAACAATTACAGAGCAATTTCTCCGTGTTACTGTACTATAAAGTATTTAAGCATTTGTCTGGAATATAGTATATGCAACTGTTAAAGCAGTAGTCTTCAACCAGACTAGATTTGAGACTTTGCTCTGATGCCCAACCTGCAACATTGCTACCACTTGCATGAGGAGAAACTTTGTGATTTAAACTGGCTTACAGCTGCAGGCTGGACTGGCCAATCCAGCACTTTAACTGTGTGTCAAGCCTTGCCAGGCCACTATTGCTGCTGCCTGCCTGGGGACATTTGGTGCCCAGGATCTTTTGGCTCCCTGGGCAACTGTCCACTTTGCCTCCTTCTAGAAATGGTAATTAACTTCTAGTGCTGGTCCTTACATTTTTCTTAGGTATAGATTCAGTACATAGCAGTGAACTGTCCACATCTTCAGGATCAATGCACATATTATCCTTATAATGAGGGAATGCATGGAACCAGTCCCTGGCTCATGGCATCTATGTTGGTTTGATTTCCCAAAGAAGAGATTGTTGTTTGGGTTGCCCATGGAAATCAGTGGTGGCAAGGAATTGATCCTAGCCTTGGTTTGAATTGATCTTGGTTGGGGAACATGGAAGCCAGAACTGCTTCTCACACCACATATCTTGGCTTTCCAAAGAAGGCATTATTTGACATCGATCAAATATGAAACAGATGGTGGCCAATGGGGGATCATTCTTTCTTGGAATTCATCTCCTCCCTCACAACCAGTGGGCAATAGAGTGGGGGAAATCTGTGCTTGGCCTGATTCCTAACTTTCCCTGTCTTCATTGCTAGAATAAAGCAATTTACCACATTAGTCCTGGAAATTTTAAATGACCTCTGTCCCCTTGCTCAGTTGCTATAGGAACATAGGAAACTACAGACTATTTGTCTATTCAGCCCAGTATTTTCTACTCTGACTGGCAGCACTTACCCAGCATCTCAGGCATGTCTTGAGCATGTGTCTGTAGTGGGCTGGTATTTTTCTCTCATCCCCACCTTCTCATTTCCCTTCCTAGCAGATCACAGTGACAGTCTTCTAACTACAGTCTTTCTATGTAGAGACATCCATCAGGTTAAGACTTTCTTATTTGGAGAATTAGTTCTTCATCATCCCAGGAATTAATTCCAAACTGAATTGCCCTCCATATTTCCCCACCAAATGGAATTGGCTCCACCCTCAAGGAGGTTTGTACTGCTTGTGGGCAAACAGCAGGAATGCCAGATGTTACTTAACCGGTCCATTCATTAGACCTGAAGTTGGACCCTGGGACTGAGAAAGATGCATTCCACCTTCTTTGACTCTCCTTATTCCACAGTGTCTCCCCATGAACCAGAGGTGGCCCAGAGTTCGCCACCCCCTTGGCTTATCTCACAGTCTGCTGGTACTGGCAATTGAGCTAAGCATTCTGACCCCACCTCCTCTTCCAGTTCAGATGCAGAGGCTGAAGAACCCACCTTGGGATGCTGTATTTTGGGAGAAGTGGCCCCAGTCCCTACAGTTTCACAGGTTCAGTCCCCAGCATCTGTACATGAGCCTTTTAGCAGGAGATACTAAGAACTGATCCTGGGAAATATCTGCTGGCAAAGTGGGTGTTGAGCCACTGACCCATGGCCCTTCCCCCTTCCCTCCCTTCTTCCAGTGGCTCCCAAAGGATTGTAGTAGGAGATGACCACCATACTTTCCTTCTTTAGGAAAGTAACATCTAAGCTAGATGCAATCTGGTGACATATTTGAATGCTTTGCTTTGTTTTCAGTATTACATTTAACACCATATATTTCCCTATCATTTCTCCGCCACAGCCATCACCACCACCACCTCACTCCTACCCCCTCCCTCCTGGTTGCTGACAGTGTTGCTTCCTCTCCTCTCCTCGCCTCTCCCCTCCCCTCCCCTCCCCTTTCCATATTTACGCCCCACCCCCTCTTTTCTCTCCCTTTTCCCCATTCCCCCTGACCACTGCCATCCAAACATCCTTCTGGATATTTCACTCATCCTGAATGGTCCTTCCTGGCAAGGCATTCTGTGGGTGAGGGGGCTCTGGAGAATGACCACACTCTGCAAGCTCCTTGTGGTGCCCATGTTGCCAGGGGCTGCTGCTGAAGCTGCAGAACTCAAATACGAGGTTGCACCTTTACTTTCTCAATGAATAGTTTCATCAAATAATCTCACCAAATCTAGAAAGGACAGGAGCTTTCCTAAGAGCAAGAGAATAATCTATCTTTGCAAACAGTGACCCCAGCTAAAAGTATACTTCTTAAATGGAAAAAGTTGCCATCTGTCTAAGGAGGTGTAAATGTAAAAAGACATGAGAAATTGATTGTGCATCCATCCCAGTGCTTTCCGATGCCCTTGACCAAGGTTTCCTCCCCACTCCCAGTTTGAGATGCATTAGGCTGAACAATCGGTTTCATTTTGTAACTGATGATTGGCTTCCAAAGCACAGGGTTTTTTTCCACTGTGTGTGGTATAGATCTTTTACTTTTACAGCATTCATTTCTTTGTTGGATTTGCAGAATAATGAAAAAGGGCAGGCAAGCAGATTTGGGTTAAGACTTTTGCCAAATGAAAAATCAAGTGCCCGAATGTCTCATTCTAGTAATCCTTTCCATGTAATAATGAGAGATCCAGTAAGACAGAGTGCTGAGAAAAGTTGGCAGACAGAGCTCCTTCTGTATCAAACAGGTTGGACCATCATGAGTTTAACAGTGTTTTGATTTTCACATTTCCTGTTTGAGTTTTTGCCACCATAGCCAATCCCTGAAACAAAATGCATGCAGCACAGACAAATCAATGATGGATATAGAAAGCAACAGTTTCTCACTGCCTATTTTACAAAGCATCTGACTGGTATTGCTGTCTTGTTCTAGAAATAGTTCATTCTTCATTATTAGTGATGAAGAAGGCAATGGAAAAGATGCAATAAAATGTTGTGTGTCTGGTGACTGGAAGAAGTTTGTTTCTGGGTATATTGTGGATATTGTATAATATAAGGCAGGCTTCTTCAACAGTCCCACCAAATATTTTGAATTCCAACTCCCATCAGCCCCAGACAAGACCAATGAGCCAGGATGATGGGGACTGTAGTCCAAAATATCAGGAGGAACCCATGTTGGAAGGATTATGGACTCATTGTAGACATTTAAACTCCCTCAACCTGTTCAATCATTTTGGTTGTTCTTTTTCCCGTTCCACAATATTCTTGTCCAGGTACAGTGACCAGAGGTGTACAGAGTATGACAAGTGCAGTCACACCATAGATTTGCAGAAAGGCATTATGAAATTGGCAGTTTTATTAGGGGTTTTGGTAGGGGTTGTTTGTTTGAAGCAAAGCAGCAGCAGGGAAGGTGCTTTACTTGTCACTTTTCTGCTCAAATTGTTTCCCACAAGGTTTCTCTCTCTCACACTCTCTCTCTCTCTCTCACACACACACACACAGTTTCCCCCATGCTTGTTTTGTGGGTGCTAGGAAGTTTGAGACATGGAGTTTCATGCTAATATCAGCACAGCTGCAAGTCTTTTTTAGCAAGATGCACTGAAAGTGCCCAAAAAGCTCCCTCAAACTTTCAAGCTTCACATTTACTTCTCCTACAAGAAATTTACTACCTTTACTAATTTACTAATTTATTACCTACTACCCTTTCAAAAAGGGTAGTAGAAAGGACATGGGGAATTATAGACCGGTTAGCCTTACGTCCATTGTAGGAAAAACAATGGAAAGGCTCATAATAGAGAGAGATCTAGTGATGCTAGATAGGGAAGGGAGGCTG